AAGATGAGCGGGTTAGCGCCCCCAGCCCCAGAGTCAGCCAGGCAGATGGGTAACAACAGAGACACCCGCACCCAACCGCCCACCCACACAAACATACATACATGCACACACGCTTGTGTACGAGGCCAACGCCGGCGCTATAGTATCGCAATGTGGGCTCTACTGCTGCCCTTCGAGTTACATATTTACTCCAAGCACTTCAACGAACAATCTTACCGAACCCAGCTCAAAATCCTTAGCAGTGAGTACACAAACCCGTAAAGAAGCCCGCCAATCAACTGCCCTACGTCACCGCTCTTGCCATGGCTACCGCTTTCGCTTCACGGCACGAATGTTTGCTTCTGTACTGCTGCACTGCGGCTACTGCCGCCTGTTTCTGCTTTTGTTTCCCACTTCGGCTACAATTGCTATTGCTGCAGCCGCTGCAGCTTCTCCTCTTTGCGTCGGAGCTGTTCCATCAGTCGCGATGCGTATGCACTGATGGCCTCCCCCTCATCGCCCTGCGGCTGCCTGGTCACCTGCCCCCCCTCCACCACCCAGATTTCCCGGCATGTGCCCTTGAGGAACTGCAGGTCGTGACTGGCGATGACGACAGCACCTGATGAACGGTACGGCAGTACGACACCCAGGAGGAAGTTACGACAGTGTTGTGGGCCGTTGTGGAACCCGTGGTCGCAGTTCGTTGTTGTGGACCGTCGTGGACCGTAACGAGGGCCGCCAGGTGCCGCAGCAGCCAAGGGGAAAGGGGGGAGTTGAAATATGGGTGGGGGGGACGGGGGGGAAGGGGGGGAACCAGAGGGGCCTCAACAGGCTCAGAATAGGCCTTCCTAAATGCCGAGTTGTAGAGAGAACAACAGTACGAACATTACCGAAGAAAACCTAATGATTAGGGCATCGACCCATACACAAACAGACAGGGTGCGTTGCCGGAGAGAGAGAATAAATCTCATTGTCTTCGCAATGACCCCGTCCACCGCTAATTTCCCTTCCTCCCCATCCCTCCCCCCCCACACCCGCACGTACCTCCCCACTCCCTCACGGCCACCGTCAGGGCGTCCACCGTCATCAGGTCCAGGTGGTTGGTGGGCTCGTCCAGGAGCAACACGTGGGGCCTTATGCGGGCGGGGGGTGGGAGGGGGGAGCCGGAACGCGGCGTGTGGGGCGCGGGTGGGGGCGTGAGGGGTGGGTGAGGACCCCCCAACACACACGATTTCTTAAATAGGGCCTTTTCATTAGGCCTCTTTAATAGGGCCTCCTGCCGGGGGTAGGAAGGGGTAGGGACTGACTGTGCCGGGGTTCCCGGTTTCCTCTGTCCTAGTGAACCCTCAGCCCAAGAGCCGGATCAGGCCGGGGCTGAGGAGAGGAGTCTTGTTGTTTCGTGTTTCAGGCTCAGTGCGCAAACTCGCGTGACGGAGTCTCTTGGCTCGGGAGAGTGTGCGCGGGTGCGGCGCCTCCTACCCCCACCCCCGGGGGGAGGAGAGCGGAGCTAGCGGATATGCGGCTCTCGGCTGCTTAGATGGGGGAGGGGGGCAGAGGCCCCTCGCGCCCCTCTCCCGTCCGCGGGAGAGAGAGCCTAGGCGGTCTTTCCGCTGGGGCTGGGCAGTGTCAGGCCCGGTCAAATATGTGTTTATAACCATATATATATGTATATACACGTCCCGTAGGGGGCTGTGTATCACTCACCTGGGCAGCATCTCCAGAGCGAGAGCCACTCGACACCGCTGACCGCCGCTCAGAGCCGCCAACGGCATGGCCGCCACAGGGCCCGGTACGGCAAACTTGCCCAGGTAGTCGTACACCTCCTGAGGCTTCAAATGCGGCGCGCAAGCCTGCAGTGCGGGCAGCGGTGAAAAATACCGGTGAGAGGCGATGATGCGGTGTGATCATAACATTGTACGGCTGTACGGCTGTACGACAGCAGGTCAGCAGGGCGCCGTGAAACTGTGCCAGTCGGCGGAATTGGCGGGAAGGCTTGTTACGGTTGTGGTCCCTACGCTGCTCTCGTCCTGAAACCCCCCAAGCCTATTGAAACCTCACAAGATATAACTTCACAATGAT